ATTTGATTTGAAACTGTCTCATTGCTATATGTTTATCAATAAAACTGTAGGAAAAAAAAAAAAAAGTCGGCTGTCTACATGCAGAAGATTAAACCCAGACCTATGTCTCTCACTGTGCACTAAATTCAAATGGATCAGAGATATACATATTAAAATGGAGACAGGGTCCAGGGAGATGGCTCAGTGGGATAAGCGCTTCCCTGGCAAGCATAAGGGTCTGAGTTCAATCCCTGGTTCTGTCAAAAATAAATAAATAAATAAAATAAAATAAAATAGAGACAATCACTGGAAGACAAAACAGGTCAAATTCTTGAAGACATAGGTATATGCAAAGATTTCCTGAACAGAACCCCAGTTGCAAAGGAAATAATACCACAGGGCTGGGGAGATGGTACAGGAGAATAAGTGCATGCCTGGCAAGTGCAAGATTCTGAGTTCAATCCCCAGTTCTGCAAAAAAAAAAAAAAAAAAAAGAATCAACAAATACGATCATATCAAATTAAAAGCTTCTGTACAGTAAAAGAGGCCACCAACAGAGTGAAGAGACAACCCACAGAATGGAAAAAAGTGTTGCCAGCTATTCCTCAAAGGACTAATATGTAGAACACATAAGGAACTCAAAAACATTGGACCTCCCAAATATTATGAGCCAATCAAAAAACGGGCACTGGAAATGAGCAGACACTTCTCAGATGGGAAGTGCAAGTGGTAAGTACGACATGAAAAAGTGTTCGGCATCGATGGCCACTGGAGAAATGCAAATTGAAACAACACTGAGATTCTAGCTCATGCCAGAAAAAAGGGCTGTCATCAAGAAGTAAAACAATACCAAGTGCTGGAGAGCCTGCAAGGAGAAAGGAACTTCGTAGATGCTGAGAGTGTAAACTGCTGCGACCACATGGAAATCAGCATAGAGCTTCCTCAAAAAAGCAAAGTAATTTCATTTCACTCAACTGTTCCCTCCTAGGTATCTTCCCCCAAAGAGTTAAAAGACATCATACCACAGTGATATGGGCATACCGATTATTACAGCAGCACAACTCACAGCTAAATCTCGGACGCAGCCTGTATGTTCTTCAGTGGATAAATTGGTACAAATGTGGCATTTATACACAGTGGCAAACTAGTCTGCCATAAAGAAGGATAAACTGGAGTCACTTGTACTAAAATGGGTAATACTTTGAGACCATCATGTTAAATGAAATGAATCAGACACATAAGCTTAAATATTATATGGTTACTCCTATAAGAAAAATCAAATAGATAAATAAAATATAAAAGACAACTGGAAAGAGGAAAAAAAGTTCTTGTAATCCACCATGGTCAATGTTCATAACAGTGTACATTTTTTTTTTTCTTAGGGGAAATTTTGTGAAAGGGTCGCAGTTTGTAGTTCAGTCTGGCCTTGAACTCACTGTGTAGCCCAGTGCAGCCTCGAACTCATAGTGATCCTCCTGCCTCAGCCTCTGGAGTGCTAGGATTACAGGCGTGTACCACCACATCTGGTTCTAAAAGTATACCATGATTTAATATAATTGTCTTACATGTTTAATGTTCTTTGGATTATTCATCTGGCTATTAATCTGTTTATAATTAATTTGATAAGAACATAAATGAATCTGACACCAAAGTAGAAGAGACGGGGAAAAAAAAGAGATATACTATGTGCATACGCCAATTCCCCACAATAGATGGGATCTTTCGTACTGTAAACATGTACTAATAAGAATAATTTTTTTAAAAAAACATGTCTGATATGACTATATTATATAAAATTATGTACATATACATGTACTCACATTTATGTGTACATAAAAAGAAATTTGGCATCAAAATAGTAAAGCATCTTAGGGATTCAAAGCAGCTTCCATTGTCTTCATATTTGTATGTATGTTCAAAATCTGTACAATAAGCATGCATTATTTTTATCAGAAGAAAACCAATAAACCTGCATTTTCATTATAAAAAGTTAAAATTAAACATCATAATTATCTGAGGGCCATGGATTGACATGGTCAGAACAGTAACCGGGCATCAGAAGATCTCAACTACCATCCAGGTTTGGCTTCTAACGCAGGTCAAAATCTATCTCTCTGTGTGTTTCTTCATCTGAAAAATAATCCTGTTCGCCTTGTCTTCCATAAAGGGTAATTAAGAAGATTAAACGTGAGAGCAGATCTGAGATGGTACGCTGAGACAGTGCACTCTAAAAAGTACAAACTATTATTACTGGAAAGGTAACAACTACATTGTTTCTTAAGCACCAAAAGAATCAGCACTTACCACAGCAGAAACTGACCAGGGACCAAATATTCCTCCCTCTCCAAACACTGGCTCAAAGAAGGGCACAGCGACCAGCAGCATGGCAGATGACATTGGAGCCTGGTAGTACAGCAACTGCATGGAGTTCACCTGCAGCTCGTGCTGCTTAGCCCCTACCCACTGAAAATTAGGAGATAAAACAAGTCAGACACGCATGAACGGCATCACTTAGTCCAAGATGCAATCAAACCACACAGTTGGAAACATGGGCTACAGGTGCGGGGAAGATGACGTGCCTAATTATTCTACAAGATTTCAAAGATCGTTTAGATATATGAATGTTCTTTAAACACCTTGGGGCATTTAAAAGAAAAGCCTTATACATTCAATTTCTGATGATCTATTGTCTCACTTTTTCCCCACTTCAGAGATAGCTCAATGGCAAAAGTGCCTGCCTGGCAAACACAAGGTCCTGAGTTCGATCTCCAGTACAGAAAACAAACAAACAAACAAACAAACAAACAAACCCAACCCTATGCCCCCACTTCTCAATTCTGCACAAGCGGGGGGGGGGGGAATCCTCCCTTTCTGATCCTACTAAACAGGGAAAAGTAAATGCATGTAGGGGTCCATACTCATCAGAGAGCTTGGCAAACTAAGGCCAGAATGGAAATGGAAATGATCAGAACTGTTAAGTACAGTCTTTCTAAAACTGGTCAAAAAGAAAGACTGGGTGATAGAATACATTAGAGTCTAACAGATTGACTTTGCTCCTTTCCAGGTGGCTGCCAATGTCCGTGGTTTGAAAGATACATGGTCTTTTTCGTCACTTCAGGAAACCCAATTAATGCTAGAAGAAATTTTCCTCTCGGTGGCTGGCTTTTCGATGGGTAGTATTCCTCAACCAGTGCCAAAATACCTTGGTACACCAGATAACCACAAATCCTAAGACACTGTATCATTCAGTAGATGGATACCTCAAAGCCTCAAATCCCATCAGTCCTCAAAATGCTTCACAAATACAACTGAAAAGGAGGCTTTGAGAACCGGCAAGAACAGCCCTGCTTCCCCGCAGGTCTGGGCGTCCTGTCGCTGTTCCTCCCCATGCCTTGCCCGGCTTCACTGGGCAGCTGCGGCCTCCACCTCCGCCAGAGAACAACGTGAGGCCTCGCTGTGCCTCACGTTGTGCACCTGGCTGTCGCCTGCCAACCCCCTCACGCTCTCCTAAAGGGCACCATCGCTTCCCACCGCCACTCCCACAGTCCCTCCTGACTCTTTTCCTACCTACTGAGGTTGCCGGCCCTGAAGTCCCTTCTGTGAGGTTTCTGCTTCCTCCGCCAGCAACAACACCATCCCAGTGCTGTCCTCTCCCTGCGAGTCCCACCCCTCACTCTCCCCCTCTCATCCTATCTCCTCAGGCCCACACCATGCCTCCAGCCTGGGCCCTTCTGCCTTTGTTCCTACACACACAGGTTGGAAACTGCTCAGGCCCTTCTTCCTTCTTTTACAGACCCTGCACTGGCACCACCCAGACTGCAGGTGGTGGCGTGCGCCTGCAATCCCAGTGCTGGGGAGGCTGAAAACGGGGATCACTAGGAGTCCGTGCTACATAGTAACATCCTATTCCAAATACATAAACTAAAAAAAAAAAAAAAAAGATAAACGGAAATGCTCACTTACTATACCTAGTAACAAAATCTAAACTCTCTAATAAGCATCCAAGTAATTTTTTTAAGAACAAAACTGAGCTTTTCGGATCATTTTCTGCAGTACAAGAGCTGGATAAGTGGACCCAGTGACCGTTCTATCCCTTCAGGCTATTGCGCTTACCTTCTATAAACTGCTCTGTGATAAAAAATAAAAATGTATTCACAACTACACTACTTTTTCTTTTTTAACAATTCTGCAGAAATTGCCAGTTTAAGATGTTAGAGCTGGGTTACCAAACTCCTAGCGCTTGTAACAAGAGCGCTTTCAGACGTACACACAGCCTAGCCCACTGCAGTAAACTAATCCAGTGTAAAACTGATTTCAAATTTTGGCTTCTATTCCCTTGCAGGCATCCTCAGAATTTCCAGGCCAAGGTTTTTAGGACAGAGAAAATACTGTTTCCCTGTACTGTACACCAAGTTATTTATTCCCCACTGCATAAAAAATAAAATCACTATTTGTTGAGATATTATGGTAATACAGTAAGTGAACCCATGAACAAATTTTTGATGAATGCCAGCTGTAACAGACAAGGCGCTGTTGTACTTTAAAAAGGTGAATACGCTCTGTTCTTTTATTTTGATTTGTTTTCTTTTTGAAGTCATTTATTTATATATTTGGTACAGGGTCTTGTTGTGCAGCTCAGACTCAACAGCTCGGACTCGTAGTGATCCCTACTGTCTCAGCCTCCCCAGCACTGGGATTATAGGCATGCGCCACCATGACAGGTTTCAGTGGCATGGCATATGGTACTGGGGGATTGAACCTAGGTCCTTACACTTGCCGGCAGGCACTTAGACCCCTGAGCTATCTCCCTAACCCTTGATTTGTTTTTTGAGACAGGAAATTACTATGTAGCCCAGAGTGGGTTTGACCTTTTGGTTATACTCCTGCCTCAGCCTCCTGAGTGCTGGGACTATGGACATCCGCCAAACCATTGTTATAAAATATTTTGTTGATATAAGCTATTAAAAACTAATACAGCAGGGCTGGTGAGATGGCTCAGTGGTCTAAAGCACCTACTTAGAACAAGCTAAGCCAAGCAAAACACAGGGACCACGGTTCAATCCCCCAGCACCACATGCCAGCCAGCCCCGCCCCCTGGTGGGCTGA